ACTTGCATTCTCCGCTAGCAACTCATCTTCAACCTGCATCGTGTGTCTAGGATGAGAAGAGTTAACAATCTAGCCAATGGCCATATACTATTCTGACTGAAAAGCGGAAGAATGTAGATCTTGTGACTTCAATTCCAAGCCACTGGCAGAACCCATGGGCTCTTGTAACGCGGGTTTGTCCAATCGAGTTGAATGTGGTGTTAGGGTTGAGAAAGATTCGAGAAAACAACAAGCAATGCCGCGAGAGCTCCGAGTATCGGTGTAAATCTTCTCGACCTAGATTACCAAAAGAGCTCAAGGTATAAGGGAGGAAAGCTCGCTCATGCTCCTCATCCCTCAGCTCTCAACCCTTCAGTCTCATTGTTGCTACGAGAACCCAACAGATACACAGCTTCAACCTAATCTTTTCCCTGTCACGTCTTTCTTCTCTCAACACAATGGCCTCTCCTAAGCTCCAGGTCGCCGTCGCTGGCCTCGGCCGCATGGGTGCTCGTCATGCTCTCAACTTTCACAACAGAACACCCCGCGCTGAACTTGTCGCAGCCTTTACCCCTGTCCAGAAGGAGGCAGACTGGGCCAAGGTTCACCTCGAGGGTGTTACAATCTACAATGACTACCAGGAGATGCTGAAGCATCCCGGTCTTCAGGCTGTGGTAGTTGCTACTGTTACTACGGCTCATGCTGAAGAGGCTATTCAAGCCATTGAGGCTGATAAGCATGTTCTTTGCGAGAAGCCTCTAAGTACCAGCGTTGAGATCGTTAGTTCCCCCTCTTCACAAATTAAGCTTATCAGGAACTCCAACTAACCCTTGTTCTTCAACAGTCCCAATCCGTGGTCGACGCCGCTGCCAAGAAGCCTCACCTCAAGGTCATGTGCGGGTTCTCTCGTCGATTCGATGCCTCATACCGCGACGCCTTTGATCGCATGGACAGCGGTGCCATCGGTCGTCCCTCCGTTTTCCGATCTCAAACCTGTGATAAGCTTGACCCATCCGGTTTCTTCGTTGCCTATGCCGAGTTCAGCGGTGGTATCTTTGTCGACTGTAACATCCATGATATCGACCTTGCCTTGTGGTACTTTGGCCAAGACTCTATCGTCAAGTCTGTTGTTGCAACTGGAATCACTGCTGTTCAGCCTGAACTGCGAAAACACAAGGATGTAGACAATGGCGTTGGTATTGTTGAGTTCTGGGGCGGCAAGGTCGCATACTTCTATTCTTCACGCATGATGGCTGCTGGACAGCACGACATGACAGAGGTCATCGGTACTGAAGGCAAACTCGCTATCAATGCCAACCCTGTCGGCAACCTTGTTGAGATGCACGAGGCAACCGGTGTGCGCCGACAGATTCCTGGCGACTACTATGGTCGTTTCGAGCATGCCTTCGTCACAGAAGCCAATGAATTCACAGCTTCAGTGCTCGACAACAACAAGCTACCATTTAAGCTTACAGGTGCTGTGCAGGCTGTCAAGATTGGTTGCGCGCTCCAGGAGTCGCTCAACTCAGGTAAGAAGATTAACTTTGACGAGACTGGTCGTCGCATCGAGGAATCTAAGCTGTAAAAAGAATCATGATTGTTGAGCGTGTTTATACTTAGATGAGTTTATAGAGTAACTGGACTTTGCTTGTGCAAAATGAATTTCTTGATCTTACACATGAACCTTTGAGGGAAGTGAGTTGTACTTGATACCAAACCCGACATTGAAAAGCAGTATCAGATAATATGGTATAACACAAGCCCCGGGACCCACATGAATTGCCGGTCTCTGCCCGCCAGGCGGTACCAAGCAGCACTTGGGTACTATATATCCCGAGCTACCTACTCAGTGGCATCCACTATCTAGCTGTACTTGGCACATAAACTGGGAGATCTTCTGTTTCTTTATTCTAGAAAGATACCCTTTTGGGACCAAGGTTACACTCCGTGAATTCTTGTGGTCAAACTATTCGTGACTCATTCAACGAAGCTTTATGTGACCAAAGACTTAGTCCTGACTAGGACCGGATCTCCACCAAGATCACAGAACTCGAAAGCCCATAGGCCATTCATTCATTGAGCCGTGTCTCGTATACCTCTTGTTAATAAGTGATTCTTGGCTGCCCCCATACCCCTCAGGAGCAAGACGATATAAGACTTCCTTCTATCCCTATAGTAAAATACACCTCTCACTCGGATCCTAGCGATGCTATCTCACCCAGCCAGAATGTTACTTGCAAATGTTCCCTGGTATAAGAGGATCTCTTCCTAGGAAGATCTTCATAAGTTAGGATGATCTCCAGGCACTTTTTGTAAGTTCTTGATAAGAATTATTTCTGTATGTCTAATTCCGTTTCAGCCAGGGTAGTGCCTCGTCTATCAGCCGGTTATGTTGAAGCTGTCAGAATTCTTGCTATCTAAGGAGTTCTGTAGAGCAAAGGCAGCACCTAGTTTTACAAGGTTCTGAGCAAGGTGGCGGCCGGGTTTTAGGATATTCTTAAGGAAACATTATCCTAAGGCTGCCTAAATTTTGTAAATTGGGATAGGTTTTACATAGTTCTGACAATTTTAGGACAATCTTTCCTAAGAAACTTGTCCCTTCACGTTGGCACGTGGCGGATCCAGGCTAAACAATGTCTTTATCTGCTAATATCGGAGATCGGGACCTTACTGTAACACTTGTGCGGACTTCACCCCGACATAGAAACCTTTCCTCTTGTATTGGTCGAATGATCTCAAATTTAACTGGTTTAATCTACGGAACCAAGTCCAAAGTCATCATTAAGTATATTCTACTTGCTCTTTTCGTCAACTTCTTCCACACCCAACTCTCGACGCCAAACCTTGAGAGGCATAGGACCAGGAGCAAGATTCATGGCCTCTCTGCGTTCTGGTTCCCATTCTGGATAAGGCAATGCCCACTCGTACCTATGTACAACACTAGCCAATAGTACAGTTTGCTCAAGATAACTGATATTTCGGCCGATGCAGCCACGGGCCCCGGCACTGAAGGCGATGAAATACGGCTGCAATTCCTTTCCTTTCTCTCCGAGCCATCTTTCAGGGGCATATGACTCGGGATCGGGAAAGACTCGGGGGTCTCTGTGTGTGACATATGCTGAGATGGAGACTGTAGTGTCTCCAGGGATGTATTCACCAAGAATGTTCCAACCTTCAGGGGGTGTACGGCGAGGAAGACCAAAAGTTGTTGGCGGTGTGATACGAAGAGATTCGTCTAGGCAGGCGCGAAGGTATGGTAGGTGCTTGGCTTTATCGTAGGGAGCAACGATCTCTTCAGGATCAAGAACAGAATCAACCTCCTCCCGAAGCTTCGCCATGCAAGACGGGTTCTTCAGAAGCCAATACATGACGTTGTTCATCGCGAGTGCAGTCGTATCACTACCGGCATTCATCATAATAGAAACCTCAGCGACAATCTCTCCCCATTCCAGACCGGGAGGGTTGGCCTCACTGTGGTCCATGAGGGCTTGGAAGAAATCAGGCAGTCTCTCGCCGTTCTTATGACGCTCAAGTCTCTTCGTTGCACGGTGATATACAATATCATTCCAACCTTCGTTGAGGTGCCACCAATGGCGGAAATCTTTGGAAAACCACTTGGATGCTTCAACGTTGAAGTTGTACCACTTCTCTGTCCAGGCCAGAATAGACTGAGCACGAGCTGTTGAGTGCAGACACTCTCGAAAGTTCACTTCGTGAATAGTTCCATCCATTCGTTCGGCTTTCACGCGGTCGTGACCTTGGTCAAGAAAACCGAGGCGTTCACTGAGACCAATATCTGCTATGGCATCGAGAGTGAAGAAGTTGGTAAATGCTCGGTAATCGAAGTTGAGGTCTCTAGGATCAGGCCGCGAGAAGCCTTCTTTGAGTGGCACAGTACAAGCAGCATCAGCAGCGCGGATAAAACGATCTGCCTTGTCTGCTACTTTGAATTCCCAGTTTTCAAGATTCTTCAAGGCATATGCAGCAGAGAGGGCACGGCGCTTTCTAGCATGGTCGGCCTTGTCGATGACATCGGCTAAGTGATAGTGGCTGCCAGCAAGAGTCTCGTAGAACTCTCCCTTGGTGCATTTTGTGCCATGGCCATATATATCCTTTATGGCTTGGATAGAACCATAGGAGAGAGAGTTTGGGCCAGTGCGGATCACTGGATGGGTCTTGTGCATCTCATATAGAGTTCGAGAGCGGAAACCCTTGGCTGCTTCGCGGACAAAAGGGATATTGGTTATTCCCGCCAGCGGATGGAAGTTGGGGTAACGCCGCAGACCTTTGGCATCGCGAAGATATGTGTAGATGGGATAGAGAATGAAGTACGTGAGGAGAGATGCTGCTGTAAAGAGGGATACAACTTGTGCGTACATGATGAAAGATTGTGAAGTCCAGTCTTTGATAGAGATTGATGAGTCTAAGAGAGACAAGTTATATTGTATTGAAGTAGCTATCCCATCTATCTATCACTACAGGACCACTCTTACAACGTCAAAATCCGACTTGCCATAATTGATACAAGACAGAAACACTCTGAGAAAGGCAACTTCGAGAAAATGTCTTAGAAGCATGAGGACTCTTCTGGCCTCATATAGCCACCCCCCCGTCCTCAACCTCACTACCAAGAACGAGTGCGGGGAAGACGAATGGGGAAATATACTGAACCCGGTAACGCCTTGAATCTAGATTTCATCGTCTCGTCTACCCCGTGTTGTCTCCCCGCATATCGTCACGATGAAGTGGCTCCCTTGCCCGAATAGGAAATTTTCGCCATCTAGAATTGTAGGTAGGTAAAAGTCCCCGCGATGGTTGGATAACCTCTACGCTAGTCCCCACGTTTCGTTGGAGACTCTTCGGGATGAGAAACAGAGTATGTTGATTTCCTAGGATAGAAAGAAATTCCGCGGATGAGGCAAGGACAAAAAGATTATGAAAATGAATATCAATCCTTCTTCTCCTCGCTTCAGAGACTCGAGCAAACCATTATCTCATCTCTCGTATAGTCTTTAGCAATCATGTCCAACGTCTTTGCAACAGAAGCCTTGAATCGGCTCTCCCAGCTGGGGCCACCTCAGACAATAGCCGATATGGCGGCTCTGGGCACAGTCGGAATAGCCTCAGCAGCGTATCTTCTGCGCGGTATTGTCTGGGATAAGCCAGATCCTTATCATCATATCTGGTTCGAACGCATGGGGTCAAAAGATGGTGCTTCATCGGGGCCGAAAGCAACTCGTGATATTGCAAAAAAGATGGAAGAAGCTGTAGGTTTTCTCGGATAATGACAAGACTTCATTTACTTACAGACCATCAGGGCAAAGATGTTGTCATATTTTGGGGATCGCAATCGGGTACAGCCGAGATGTTCGCCAACAGACTCTCCAAAGAATGCCATCTGCGTTTCGGTCTTCAGACCCTCTGCGCTGATCTATGCGACTACGACCCTGAGTCTATCGCCAACCTTCCTCAAAGCAAGCTCGCCATTTTCATAATCTCGACATACGGAGAAGGCGATCCCAGTGATAACACAGCTGCTTTCTGGGAGTGGCTTCACAAGAATCCCGATGTTCAGTTACCAAACCTGCGATACATGGCCTTCGGTCTAGGGAATACCAGCTATCGGTACTACAACCGTGTTATCGATGTTGTTGCTGAGTTCCTTGACAAGGCTGGTGCACAGAGGCTGATGCCTGTGGCCAGGGCCAATGATGCTCAGGGTGGCACAGAAGAGGACTTCCTCTCCTGGAAGGACGATCTGTATACTCACTTTCAGACCAAATTGGGCTATGAAGAGCGAGACATCCCGTATGAGCCAAGTATTCAGCTCGTAGAGGATGACTCTCTTGACATCATGGATCTTAACCTCGGCGAGCCTATTCAGAACCGAAGCGGACCTGCAAAGATTGTCAAGCAGTACTCGCCTATCCGACCTTTGACGGTCCAGTCTTCACACGAGCTTTATACGTCTCCCGGGCGAAACTGCCTCCATATGGAGCTCGATATCTCAGATCATCCTGAGCTTCGATACCGGACTGGTGACCATCTTGCCGTCTATCCTATCAACCCTGATCACGAGATACAACTTCTCCTCAAGGCTCTTGATCTTCAAGACCGAGCTGAGAAGCCTCTTCTTGTTCAACCCCTCGAAGAAGGCATAGCAATCAAGATTCCCAGTCCCACATCTGCACTGGCCCTCTTTCGGCATTACCTCGAGATCTCGGCTCCTGTATCTCGGGAAACTGTTGGTCAACTTGCGAGATTTGCACCTTCGGCAGAGATTGCTCAGAACCTGACAGCTTTGGGTAAGAGTAAAGAGGCGTATGCTGAATATACTGCTAAGAACCATATCACTCTGGGTCGCCTTCTGACTCTTGTTGCTCCTGGGTCTATTTGGGACAAACTTCCTCTAGCTTACGTCGTTGAAACTCTACCAAACTTGCAGCCCCGATACTACTCCATCTCGTCATCGAGCACTGTGTCTGCACGCAAGCTTTCGATTACATGCGGCGTCGATAACTCGCCTCTCCAACAAGATCCAAGCAGGTCCGTCCGAGGTATCACAACGAATTACCTCTACGCTCTAGGGAAGTCTCTTAACGGGAACAGCAATCAACCAGAGGTTGGACCCGAGGCTCCTACATACGCCTTGTCTGGTCCCGGTGATGCTCTCAAAGGCCACAAAGTCTTTGCCTGTCTGCGTCGATCTAACTTCAAACTTCCAACAATGAGCTCAACACCTCTCGTCATGATTGGTGCTGGTACCGGTCTCGCTCCCTTCCGCGGGTTTATTCTTGAACGAGCACGTCTCAAATCTGTCGGAAAGCCCATTGGAAAGATGATCCTATTTTTCGGATGCCGTGCCCCTGGCCAAGATTATCTCTATCGGGATGAACTCGCCGAGGTGGCAAAAGAACTACAAGGCAGTCTTGAGATCGTTACTGCGTTCTCACGTGCAGATGGACAACCAAAGAAGTATGTTCAAGACAAAGTCGAAGAGAGGAAGAAAGATGTGTGTGACCTTCTCCGAGATGGTGCGAGTATCTACTTCTGCGGTAGAGCTTCAATGGCTAGAGAAGTTGGCAACGTGGTGGAAGAGTCGATGAAGACTCAGAATAGTTGGAGCGATGCTGAAGCTAGGAGCTGGGCTGAAGCGGCAAAGAAGGGGAACAAGTGGCTTGAGGATGTCTGGGGTTGAGTTCGTGTGAGTAAGGCGATGTAGTATGAAAAAGCGTTTTGTCAAAGGGAGCACGTTACATTATTTGGCAAATTTTTACTTAACACAACTTCAAGCAGTTGTGCGCAGGATAAGAAATTTGATCTGATTTCATTATGATAGATTTATGCTATATATTCTAAGCTTAGACTTTCTAGTCTAAACTTATGACAATGTTTCCTAAGCTTATGGTGTTGATTTCCCAAGTATTTGATAGTTACACATTCGCTTCCTACTTAGTGTCTATCAAGTTGAGCAGATATCTATTCTCGTCTCTTGAGCTTCAGGCTCACAATTAAGAGCTTTTGAAAACATAACTAACTAGTAGTATAAAATTGAGACCGAGACTACTGTTAGTGAAGCCGTTTATTAGACGGCCAATGTCCGAACCAACATGAGGCCCTTGCAGCGTCTACTCTAGCTTCACGTGGAGACACAAGATAGTATGCGTTGAGCCTGTGTAAGCTCAACTGTTTGAGTAATGTATTACAGCCTCATGATTGCCAGTACCCTGTATCTGACCGTCAAAGTCACAACTCAACGAAGGCCAGAGATGAGTAATACGATACCTTCAACATGGAACCTACAGCTCGTGCCTTGGCTCTTGAGTCAGACATGAGAAACATCATGATCTTTGCCAAAGCTAGTCCTAACTTTATGCCCAACCTTATGAATCTAGCCCGTGGACTAGCTGTTGACCAAAGTCCACCAAGAGCCACAAAACCACAGACTCAAGCTGCCAAGAGCCATGATTTGCAACTAGTGCCTTAGCAATGGCATTTGCTCTTGGACATGACTTGGAGAATACCCACCAGCTTAAGCCCTACTCTTCTAAAGAGGCCGAGTGCCCATGAACTGGATACCAGATTTGAAACTGTCAAATAGTCGAATGCCGATTGATAACACGTGCCAACACATCAATGCCGCCTCACTAATTGATGTCGTTCTGCATGTCTTAGTTATTGCTTCTGCGATCAGATCTCGTATTGCTTGGCATATCCCAACTCGCCGGACAAAAGGAAAACCAAATCTGTCAATGCCTGTCAATGTTACGAAGTAGCCAGGTACGTAATCCTCAGGGGCTAGTAACTGATCCTAGCAGGGGAGGGTATATCAGCCCCTGCAGAAGGATTTGGCCTGGAAACGTGCCTCTGCCTCGGAAACCGGATGTCACTAGGTAAACTCAATCATGTGTCCAGAGAGTGAGTGAGTGGCCTTGGAGCCGGGCGTAACGCGGCAAAAGCTTCGCCAATGTCAATCAGGGGTTGTTTCATTTACGTAGTCGGCGGTAATTAGACGGTTTAGGATACGACTAATACAACCTCAAAGACCGTGCTTAGGCAGCGCTAATTCCTTAGTTTACCGGTAGTCCAGCTACCGAGACAGAGCAACGCCACCTGTAGATTCAGATTTCAGCACGGCCAGTTTCTGGACCTGACCTTGTTGGAAAAGTTCGAATAGTTCGTTGGTCCCGCTAGCTTGGGTACCTGAAGCTGAAGATATGAGCAATTTCGCGGCAGGCAAAGCTTTGCACCGTAATTTGGGAACTTCAAGGCGAACCTCTGGTTGGACTTTGACATGTGTTGCAACAGTTGTTGGGTGCTCAACTGATGGATATCTTGGTATATTACATTAATTACATGTGCTTCTCACACTTCCTGCATACTATGTATTGCCTTTTTCCAGTAACTCCGTAATACGAATCCCCTAAACATCCAGTGTAGACTTTCCAGGAGTAACTTCGTATGTCCTAGTGACCATAATGCCGTCTTGGTTATCACTCTGTCCACTTGTTGTGCTGCCAGCCCTGATCTCAGGCTTGCTGTATCCCACAAACTCTGGCTTCCCAACAATATGTTCCTCGCTCGAATTGTCGTCGAGTTGTGTCATGTACTTTTGATGTCGGTTCGCAGAAATGCCTCCAGAGATGCCTGATCCGCCGATTGTTCCAAGTGGGTGGCCGTGTTTGTTGATGTAACTGCTCGTTCCCTTGTCCCGACTGCTTCCCTTGCTCGACACGAGCCATCGAGAAGCTGAGAATAAAGGCTTGATCGCCGCGGCGTTCACTGCCAGGATAGCGATAAATGTTTCGCGAATCGCCCAGATTGTCGATGTGTTGATGCCTTGGATGTCCCTGGGTTGTTAGCAAAACACCAAGAACTATACCTCGAGGGGGGGCTAACCGTAGCGAAAACACACATCTCAAGAGTGTTGCGACCATGATAAAAACGCCAGAACAGAGCAGAACGCCAATCATTAGTTTCCTCTTGATGGTGAGCTTTACAGTCCATAGTAGAGGGACTGGTATGGAGACGATAGCGATATCGGTTCTGTGTTTGCAAGTTAGATCAAAGGTCATAGTTCGAATACCTATACAATAGTAACATACACAATATTAAACACTACGAGCGTAAGGTAATTCGCTACGGCGAGCGTGCAAGTGTCTACTCGTGTTAGAGTCGGTGGTCGGTTCAGTCGGGATAACACTTACCACCAGGATTGGGATAAACTTGCCAGTTCTTATGAACAGGCGTACAATGGCCCCAGATGGCAGCCATTACTGCTATGTAAGCAATAACTGTTCCGACTTGTGTCCAGATAACAATCTTTCTCTGCCAGAGACCAAGCCTGGAACTCTGTTAGCATACATCAACGGTGGATCGAGGCTCTACGTACGTCATGCGGCTATACAAGCAGAGCATCACTCCCTTGAGAGTAAAGATCAAAGTCACATAAAAGTTCCATCCTGCAAGGAGACATTTTGATCCAAACTCGCGCTTGGCTATCTCTGCAGCTGACATCTTGGCGCCCATCTCGTCGGTAACGCCAATGTTTGTACCAGATTGGCCTATTGTAGGGTTAGTGATCCTTCGACGTGAGCCAACATAATTTTCAGGTGTTTTTACCTATGAGTTCTAACATGACCAGCTCGCACTATGTATGTTAGCAAGGATGCCTTGGCAAAAAGAGTGAAGAGGCATACCGTCCAAAATACAAGGGCTGCAAGAGCAAAGTAGTCATCACCTTGATATCCCTTGAATCCAACTGTTTTCCATCTTGCAAAGTATCGTAAAAACAAGACAAGTGTGCCAAGACCATACTCCGTCCAGGCCTCAGTCTGGAAGGGTGTTGCCATTTTGGTTGATAATAGAAATCTTCAGCTTGCAAGAGTTGTCTAATAGAAACGAGACAACAGATGCAGGCCAGGAGTGACAGCTTCGGGGAATAGAGATGGAGATGAGGAGATAGCAGGCCCAGCCGGCATATGTAGGTATGATATGTGACTTATGAAGTTGACATGAACTAGCTGATGCAAATGCAGGATCTGACGCCCCCTTTTGGCCGAGTGTAAGAGGCATTGACCATCTCATGGCTCACTTAAGGATTGACGGTGTCGTAGGAGGAGTGCTACCTTGTCAAGACGCTGGGTATAGTGGACCGGGGAGCCTTGGCAACCCTGGTGCATGACTTGGGATATGTTGATGAGCATCATATTGTCCAACCTAGCTATCCTAGCCAACTCGTACAGTCATCCAGTGTCTTCTTGAGGTCTTGTTGATCTCTACGGCACAGTCATATACGAGTCAGTTTGACTCCGCCAAGCCGTTCAAGGTCTTCCATTGAAGAAGAACTTGCGAGTCCTTCTTTTCTTTTCTTCTGCTACAGAAAAAGAACATGGTTGATGCATATGCAGGTCCACAGTCTCATAGAACCCCGGCTGGTGGTATTGGTTGGTCAAAAACATTCCCAAGACAAGGCAGACCTGGTCATAACTCGAGGCCCTTGACCAAGATAATCATAGCGTGTCTGTGGGGATAAATCAGAACGGTCAACGGTGAGTTTCTAGCGTCTACAAGGCGCAAGGCTATCTACTAACCTATTGGTAAAGGCCAGTACTAACGTCGTTGACTCCAAGCACTTTGCTAGAGGCAAAACTTTACAACGTTGCTCCCAAGCCCCTAGCTGCCCCTAGCTGCCCCTAGCTCTACCCCGCTAGAACAGACACTCAACAGCAATTTCAGCATCTCTAGCGGCCAATCCTCTCCACTGATGTCCTTTAGCCGCGGTGATCTGCAGCGGGAGTGGAACTAGTTCCGCCCCGCACAAGCTAAACATCGTCAGGGCTTCTAGGTCCTTGGCCGAGGATGAGACATCATGTTGTACAATGTGATACCTCCTGTTGCCTGTTCTCTTGCAGCTACATGGCTGTACCCTGCTGGACTCATACATGTACACTCACCCAGCTCCAAGCTCCCAAGCTTCATCCGCGGAACGCGTTGGAATAAGGGGACAGGGACCCGGCGTTTCTCTTTTCTCCTTCTCTGATGCAAATGCAAGAAGTCCTTGCACTGCAACGTCGGATCCGTAAGGCAATCTTTGAATAAGGCGGAGACATCCCCGATTGGATGCTCCAGAAGACTTGAGGACTCCAGCTTGCGTCGACATATCAGACAGCGGGGTAAATACCCTCTGAGATAAATTCCCTCTGTCTGTTTGAGCTTTGTCCCTGAACATGAACCCACAATTTGGTGCACAAGGTGCAGCCATATTCATGCTGTTGGTTCAACTGAGACTATTCAGGGTCCTTGTCAAAAGCCAGGATCCAAGAGCACAACACACCCGACCAGCAACGTCTGAACCTCTCAACTGCCTTTATTAGGAATGGTATGATGGACCTAATGCCTAGCTGCTACATAACCGGAATCCTCCTGTTGTTTTGAGTGACAAGGTTTCCGAATTTCCGGTCCTGACTGGCTCAATAGACAGCCTTCATGATAGTGGACCTCGGGTAATACTATGTATATAAGTAACAGAGGCGCTACTGGCATCAAGTTGGCTTCTTCCTTGATACTTTTCTCATATATCTTTTGACAGATTGTTTCTTTTATAAGCAAACAAACAAACAAATAAGCAAACATGGCTGCTGCTGCTCCAGACTCTACTTATGACTTCATCATCTGCGGGTAAAGTTCCGCACTCAC